AGATGGAGCCTGTACCTCACATTGATATCAAGTCTAGGAACCTGAGGCTAGAGGGATCACAGGCCACAGGGGGGAGCCTAATACTATTAATCTGCTAAATAGATAGTTTAATATTAATCTGCTAAATAGATAGTATTAAACTGATTTTTGATGACTTATTGTTACACATAGATTAATGCATCTCTCAGCTCTCAGAGCAACTTCCTTAAGCCGCAGATGATGATTAACACAGAGACCCCACAACTGGTCAATGGGCTGCAGAGTGCGTATCCCTGAACAAGATACCTATATCAAACTTCTGCCTCCCAAGGCTCGACATCATTGTGGAAGGGGGGATGGAAAGATTGCAAGAGACAGAGGTTGTAGGGGAGAACCTAGTACTGTTATTGTGCTAAATGGGCATAGTATTAATTCTAATGGCTTACTATTTATTACACCTGTAGATTACTGCTATCCCTCTCACCAGGGAAGCTGCTTCTTGCAACAGATAGTGATTAACATAGAGACCCACAACTGGTCAGTGTACAGAGAACTACAGAATGCAGAGTGCTGAGCCCTAAATGAGACACCTGTATCAACCCTCTCCTCCAGGGTTCAGGGATCATTGTGGAAGAGGAAGCAGAAAGTTTGTAAAAGCCAGAAGTGGTAGATGAATACAGGGAAGCTGTGTTTTCCAGACATAGCAGGGAAGTTGCACATAGGAACCTACAGCACCAGTGACAGTTTGCACAAGACTTGTGCAAGCCCAAACCAGATAAAAACTGACCATGGAGGGGAGAGGTGGACAAGAAGTCCTAGCTCTAGCTGAGGAACTATTAGCAATTGATAGCTGCTGGGAGAGGGAGAGTCAGTTTTCTGTAAAGGTGATGCAGGGAGGTTGACCAGGCTTCAGAGAATGGACCCACACACAAGAGCATTTGGGGAGCACAAATTAGACTCGATAGGCCTTAAAAATAGAGGGCATGAAGTGAGGAAGGGTAGTGAGGTGGGATGAATCTCAGAGGAGATGGTGGGGAGAGCCTAAATAGAATCAAAATACATTGTATGAAATTCTCAAAGAATGCACTCACAGTCACTGCTGCTCTACCAATGGGTTCAAAGTCTTTCCTCCCATGGGATCTTATGAGTCTTTCCACACATTTCAATGCCACTCCTCAGGTACACTTTCATATCTCTTCGAAAGATCGGCCTGCTGGATGTTCTTAGAACAGTGGGAAGTATTTCAGCCGTTGAGCTGGTAAAGTAGAGGTGTTGGTTGTGAGCTGGGCCACCATGTCCGTTGTGATTTTTCTTTCAGGTTTAAAAGCACTTTAGAAATGATCTAGTCTGACACACAGGCACCAACAGACTATATTATATTAACCTAAATTCATAGAACTAGCTAGAGACAGTTCTGAGACTGAAGTCCTAGTTTTGGATTTTTTTCACACACCAGATAAACCATTTGCTCTGCCCTGAGAGCACAAGGCTTTGCGTTTTTGCTTTGTCCTCATCCATCTGTCTTGAAGAGCATCTAGTCCCTCCAGCTCTTATCTTTGTGTGCAGGACCTTCCATGTTGTCCCAGCCCAGTCTTCTGGTTCCCGTCCCTTCTGGTGTCAGTATTTCCTTTATGGCCCCAGGGTTACGAGAATACATTACTTGTTTTAGCAAGAAGCAATTAAAGGATCAGCAGCACCAGGTTGCTTCAGTGCTGCTTTTACTCTCTCTTTTGCTAGTTTCTGCCCCACATTCCTAGGTCCTGACTTGGTTTGCTCCTCCTCAAGGAATGTCTTCCTTCCTTGATTAGTTTATGAACTTTCTGGCACTCCTTCATTTCCCAAGATATGGCCTTACATTAGTGGAGGATTGGGGGAGGGGGGTTGGCACTGTCCTCTTGTCTACTCTAGATTCATACATTATCTCATCTGACTTTTACAGCATCCTTGTGTTCAGTAAGAACTGGAACTCTCATTCTTTTCTTACCTACAAAGGAGTGAAATACAGGTATGCAGAGGAAATAATTTCACAGTCTTGCTGCCTCTCGTTGGCAGGAGTGGAAGCTAAGCCTCCAAATCATAGTTTAAAATATTTTCAAGTGTCCCAAATTTTAATGTTAACAGAGAGATAAAATTCATTGCCGTCTGTTATTCAGAAATTACATAATTTTTTTTTCTCAAGATCTTGTTCAGTTTCTTGTTCTGGCTATTAATCTGCATTTCTCCAGCATCTTTAACACTTTTATTGCAGGAAAGACCCCTGACGATTTGGTTAGTAGAGGTAGTAGTAGACAAGGTCTCTGATACTGATGGAATTTTTACTTGCATTACTAAATGCTATTAAATGTGTTTATATGTGGACCTGTGTTTGCAGTGTTCAGATTACCCATTTGAGAGTCAAACTGTTGTCATTGATTGTGGCTTGGCCCACCATGTCTGTTGTGATTCTTAATTTACAGATTCAAAAGTACCTGTACCCAAATTCTTGACTTAAACTGTGTATCATCTGTTATAACTTAATATTTTTACAAATTTTGAAGAGTCCACATGTTTTACTAGAAACTGTACTTTCGAACTAAAAGTATAAGAAATATTTCTGAGGTATAAAATATGAAATAGTATTGTAGTTAGCCTCAAAAATATTCTTAAGATTTATCTGTTAACTAGTAGTAAAAAGTGATTTGTTTGCTTCTTTTTCTGTTTGAAGTGGGGTCTCATGTAGCTCAGGCTGGCCTCCACTTCACAGTGTAGCTGAGGATGATCTTAAACTCCTTTTCTGCCTCTGCTTCCTAACTGCTAGAATTATAGGCGTGTGCCAGGGGCCCAGCATTAGAAAGTAATGTCTTAGCACTTTCCTTTTTAATAAGTATAGTTCACAGATTGAAGTTAGGTTTTTAACTTAAACTAATTCAATAAATTTTATATAATTACATTTTTTTTGTTCCTTCATTGACAAGCACAGCATTTTAAAGCACTCTGTAACGTGTACACCCTCACAAGGAAAAGGAAATGCAGTTATAGCTTCACAGGTAAAGCAAGTTAGAAACTGACATTGTCCTGACATGGCTGGCAGTGTCAGCTCACTGTAGCAGGACTGCTCAGTACCACGGTGAAGAGAGCTGCTAGGGAAGGAAGCTGGTAAGTGACTTTTTCAGGCCCAGCTTCATTGTTCTGCCACTCGTCCTCCCAGAGGCCAATGGGTGCACATAATGGTGTGTATGTGAGAGCCCTAAACCAAAGATGTGAAAAGTCCTTGTGTCCTGTGCTCAGTGCTGTCAGCATGTGAGTGCAGAAGTCACAGGTACAGATACTATAAGTTCATCCTGACTCCTTCGATATGAATTGGAGTTACCTATCCATTCCCAGAAGAAAGATCCTGTGCAAGTTCTAGGTTTACCTTGGATGTAGCCCCACTCTTTTATCTTTACTTTTTTTATTTTTAAATGCACATGTTGATGCGTCTTTTTGTGTGTACCTGTGCAAATGGAGGCCAGAGGACAACCTTAGATGTCATCTTGAAGAATGTCATCTACGTCCTTTGAGACAGGGTCTCTTACTGGACTGGAGTTCACCAGGTTAAGTTAGACTAGGTGGTGGGCACAGGGATCCTTCTGTCTCTGCCTCCCCAGAGCTGGGATTGTAAATATGTGCTACGGTGCCTGGCTTTTGGTGCATTCTGGGGGCTAAACTTGTGCTCATGCTTTTAAGCAAGAACTTTACTGACTGAGCCTCAGCCTTCTTTTTGAGACAGGGTCTAGCTAGTAGCCTGGGCTGGCCTCAGCCACAGTCTCTTTAGCACTGGGATTACTAACTTGAGCCATCACACTGGGTGCTTCATGTAAGTTGCTGTATTTCACTGCCTGAAATACGCCCTCATTGGGGCCATTCTTAGTTTGATCTCATGCCAAAGGAAAAGATGGGTGTCTATTGGGGATATGCTTGGCTACACAACTTAGGGTGAGTAGTAAGAACCATCTTAACAGAATTATGAAATTGTGCAGTATTGTAACAAAAAAAAAACAAAACTCCCTACCTTTCATCCAGTTTCCTGAGTGATTCAAACACTCTGAGTCTTGCCACAGTGAAGTCTTCACTAGATTTTCCTTCTGAAAGATTAGCTGTTCCCAGTCACATTTGGTAACATTTGTGTAGTGTTTGTAGGAAAAATATAAACACACTAACTTATACTAAAATCACAGAACATAAAACTTTTGAAATGACCTTTAAAATGAAAGTTCTAAAATAGGCAAAGTATATAAACATGCAGACCAGCACTGGGTATTTTTATACCCTGACATGTGTTGTGTCCTAGAGAGTCATCTTTAAGTGCCAAAATGATTCAGGACGTTTTTTTACTGTTCCTGTCATTAGCTTCATCAGTAGCATTTTACAAATATGTTTATCCAGAGACAAATATTGTAGTTAAGAAGCAAAATAGAGACATCAGATAAAGCTAATGATTAAATTGTTTACTCTTTTTGACTGAAAAATGTAATTATTTTTTTCAACTGACTCATTCATAAGGGAAAGAATGTCCTTCTATTTGATGATTTACATCCTAATGATTCCTGCTAGGTTTTTGTTTGCATTTTGTTGTTGGGGAGCAATTCAGAATATTTTTGTATCCTTATAGAATACAGTAAAATGCAATTTTGTTAGTAAAGCTAATTATTACTGAAACTTTGAATAAGCATCTCTTGCCACAGAAAAAAATGTAAATTAAGAGAAATTTGTCTGAGATTCTGAAAATAATTTCCCAAGTATATCTGGAAAGGATACATAATTGATTTTAGAGGACGCATAATTGATTAATTAAAAGCATCATTTGAAAAGCCCATTTGTGAACTCTTGAGAGCAGCTTCCAAATGCCCTTAGGTAGACACCAGGCCACTGGTGCAAGTACTTTTGTGTGTGCCTAAAGAGACCATTTGTACTAGACTATAGCAAAAATAGAGAAAGCCTGTCTTCCCTGTTACATTTACTGCCAGCCACTACATACAATTTGTGCATTTGTTCTTTCTTAGGTATGAGAAAGTGCCAGTCATCCTGGTTGGGAACAAAGTGGACCTGGAGAGTGAGAGAGAAGTGTCCTCCAATGAAGGGCGAGCCTTGGCCGAAGAGTGGGGCTGCCCCTTTATGGAGACTTCTGCTAAGAGTAAAACAATGGTGGACGAACTCTTTGCAGAAATTGTGAGGCAGATGAACTATGCGGCTCAGCCTGACAAAGATGACCCGTGCTGTTCTGCCTGTAACATACAATAGCATCTGAACATGGCAGTCCTGGACAGGATTTGCCCAGGCTCGTAGGCGAAAGAAGCCTCGTTCTACCCCACTGCAGTTTGTAGGACGCGTGGTGTGAATCCATAGTGAGCTGCAGCCCTCATTCAGAAACAAGCAGCAATGGTCAGTTGATGTCTCTGAGTACCTGTGGGTTCAGTAACTACACTTTCCACCATTGTCCTCAGTCTTCTGTGCACATCTGCAACTTGAAGGCACAGGCCATCGATCTACAGGGTGATCTCATTTGAAGTGATGATGGCATCGCCGCCGAGTTGACAGAAGCAACTGCTGTATAAATTAAAAAGAATCATGAGAGAGAAACCACAAGAATTCTATGACCATTTACAATTAAAATATTTTGTCGTCTTTAGAAAAAAAGTAAAGGAGAAATATTTTCCTACGAGAGTACTGAATTTCAGGAATTGGTGTAGAGCTTCTAGCCAGTGTGTTGGATCAAGTAACAGCTGGCCTGCCAACAGCATTGCAGGGAGTCTTCCATCAGCTGACACGGTTCTGTTTCTCAAAATTGATGCTTAATCGTAGATGTTATCCTAATCTGTGACATGGAATTCACTCATGCATCAATCCTCAATAGAGTAAAAGTCACAAGGTTGTATGAAAAATACAGTCTGGCTTTAGAATGTGTTAAATCACCTGCTTTGCCACTCAAAACAGAGGCTCTCACAAGAGTTTGATGAGAACTGAAAGCGCACACCCATCCAGGATGGTCTTTATGTACTAGAAGGAAGCAGCTGAGATGGAGAGATCGCCTAGCCTTACTAACAAGAGCATTGTAGTCGATTACCCAGTACCATCACGTAAGGAAAATGAAGCCATGTTGCATCCACATGTCCCCGTTTGCAGAAACCTCACAGGACAGTACAGATACCTGGCATTTCTGTGTTCATTAAAGCAGCCAGTTCCTCCTTGCCTTTAAGGGCTATGGTTGTGATGTGACCCTTGGCTAACCTGCTTTGGAAATCCAGTTTGCTGTAGTAGAGCTGTATTTGCAGGCATTTTTTTAAAATTGAATAACCATGTGATATAATTTGGGCTTAAAAGTAGAACATAAATTATAGAGTGGAAGGTAAGGGATAAAAAGCCTTTTATCTTCCATTTTCTTGGAGAATTACAGAAAGGTTTTCTTGTACCAGTTTTGCCCTGATTACTGAAGTGGCAGGTCCTGCTAGAGTGAATAGTTCATTTTGAAAAGGTGCTCAGCTCTGACATTTTTGGTTTTCATAGCCTTGAAGTGTTTATCATTTGCATGAAAAAATGGCACAGGAAAAACCTATTCAGGAGTTTCACAATCAAGCTTAGAAGGGTTTCACCTCACCTCAGAGATGTAAAGGCTGAAGAGATTGTCTTGAGCCCGTCCTCTGGAGATAACTGCAATGTCACTGAGCCTGCAATGTACTTAGTGCCCACACCTTCTTGGTTCCACAGTCTTGTGCAAGTAACCTCTGGTCTTAACGAGTGTAACTGAGAGAAGAGTGTGTGTTTGTGTGTGCATGTGTGTTTATTGTTCCTAAGAATTTGGCACAAATCAGAGATAATTGCCTATACTGAGAATCGATACTGCAGAATATAATGTATAAAACACATTTTTTAAATTATTTGTCTCCTCTATGTCATTGAAGCATCAGTAGCCCCCAAGTATTTAGTAACTGACATTGAGCTCAGAGGATAGAAGAAAGTCATGGTATTTTTCATGTCTGAGAAAACCGAAGAAATAATGTGAAAGCAGGCCGTGGTTGTGAGTCGTTCAATTGTGAATATTTAAAATCTTCAGTATCATTTTCTCCAGTTAGGAAGTACCTTGTTTAGAAGAAAAAAAGTTTTAATCAGTTTTCTTGGAACAAATTTCATTATGTAAAAGTTGATTTGATTCAGAGATACAGAGAAATCAGATTCAAGAAGTATGTTTTACTAAATCTACTAAAATAGATGTATTAGTGAATTGATTGAATTCTGAAGCCTCTAACTTGTCAGACTAACTCTGATTTTAGAATCCCATAATTAATAGCAATTTTATGACAACTAAGATCACATATTAGAAACAGCTCTATAGATTCCACAGTTTATATCGTGGATGTCTATGCAGACATGAAAAAGGTGAAATAACCTGAAAGGGCTGACAAAATGTAAGGTAAAGGTGTTTGTCAGATGACTGCAGGCTTTCCTGTAAGATGTCCCTAAGAACTGACTTGGCTACCTGATCAGTGTTTGCACCAACCCTCACAGACAGTGACCGGGCATCATTTCCCCAAAAGCAAACCTGCTGTGTTCTCTCCCTGTCCCTCTGGCATGAATTTGACCATCATGAACGAGTGTTTGATGGGATGAGAATAAAAAGTCCAAGAACAGGAAGATTATACTTTTTGGCATATGAAATAATGGGCCACGGAGGAGAGTTGGTGACTTCAGGTTGCTGTTTATTTAATGCCCTTATCAGAACTAGCAACTAGATAAATGAAAGTTTTTTTCTAACATGCCTTAAAAAAATTATGGTTTGATCCAAAGACCCACTTTTTCTTTAGCTATTCTAAAGTTTTCTTTTGCTTTGTTTTTTACTTTTGTGCAAAAGCAGCATTTTTTAAGTTTTTTGTTTTGTTTTGTAACTTTTGGGTTGTTTTAAGCTGTGATAGTGATGGTAACTGATGCCTTTCATTTTGTTCAACTGACAAGAAACAAGCCAGCATCAGATCAGAAGTAGTACACATCTTTCCTTAAACTACTGAAAGGTGCTTTGTGCTCTGCTCCTTTGGTGTGTAGACTTAGGACTGAGCGTTTGACCCTGTTGCTGCAGTTGCCATCACTTTCTGTGGTAAAACTACTGATCCTTGCTTTTCTCTCTAAAGAACTATTGCCTGAGGGTGACTGCTATTTGTTTTCAAGTGTGAATATGGCCTTCTGTATGAATCCGAAAGTGCTTTGTTGTTTGTTGCCCTTGGGTTTGTGTTTGTTTTTCAGTTCTCTGTCAGTAGCCATGTGTTAGCACTGTTTAAGCTTTAATTGTCTCCTTAGCCAATCAGATATTAAAGACTATGGGGGTCTTTCTCCTTTTGTTCTTTACCTTGTCATTGTGCATCTATTAAATTTTGATCAGGGTTTCAAGAATGACTGCAGTAGGTTTTGAAAACAGACTTATCATTATTGATTTGGGGTTTCCCAGAGATATAGTTCACAGTTACTTGTTGAGCTCTAATACAACTCACCATTTAAAATTGAACAACAGTTTATTGTTTTGTAACAATGTCAGTTGTTAAACCCTGACATTTCAATTAAAACATGAATTGTAGTCATAACTCAATGCAAATTCAACAGTTGTATTTGGAGTTAAATTATTTTAACAAATAAATTTATTTAATGAAACAATGGCTTATGTTTTGTTTTGTATACACTCATGACTGATCAATGTATTAATTTTATACAACTGAGAATCGCCACTTAATGAATTTAGTGCTCTTCATACGGAACTACTTAAACAGAATTGTGGGTTCATACCCTAAAAAGAAAGGCTGATAGATCATTTCTATACCCTTTAAAAATAAAAATAACATGAAAAAGGGTTTGAAATCAGTCAGCATAAATATAAACTCATGTTTATAAGTATTGTCTACTTTTTATGATAGCTGACTAATGTGAAGCCAAACAGAATTGTAGATAATTAACATTAATTAGCAGTTGCTTTATGGTCCTGCCAGCACCACTGCACTTTCTCCATGTCTGCCTCATAATGGCCTGAGGTGGTCTTTTTGTTTTCAGGTCCTGTTGGGCCTGAGGGTGCCAGAAGCCAAAGGTTGCTGTTCTGTCCAGCTGTAAAGGCTTGCTTGTTCTATATGGGGCCCTGTGAACGTTGACAGATGCTGACAATTGTGTAAGGCCTTCAGCTGCCCTGATAAGGCCCCCATTCATTCCCCAAGCCAATTTAAAGACTGCCTTTTGGTTGTGTGCTCGTCTAACTCTGTTGGAACCCCCTGGCAGCATTCCACTAGTTGAGAAACGCCATTGTTTTAGAATATAAGAATAATTTGAACATAACAGAGGCACTGTAGGCAGAATGTCAAATATTTAAAGGAAAATGTGCCTATATTTTAGTAATCATCATCTTGGCTCATTAGTTCCGTAATCTCATTTGAAGCATTTAGAAAGTTTATCAGATTCTGATTTCAGTTGCTAGTTTCTTTGAGACCAAAAAGGAATGCTATGAAATACTATCAAGTTTATATTTGCTGTTTTTTGGAGGCCCATGAGTGAAAATATAAACAGCTGAAGGAATAAGATGTCACCCAGTATCAAGCCCCACTCGCCTCTAAAGCCTGTGAGGCAGAGGATATTGTCACAGACCCCCAGGAAAAGCTATTGACCACCTGCTTCTTAAAGTAGCTGTATGGCCATGTAAATACTAATAAAACACTGGCATTTCATTTACCACATGAAATAACTGAAACTGCTTATGTTTTCCAACAGCATCTAAGTGACTTTTGCTCTTGCATACTTCCTACTCCCATGCATAAAACACTGGATTTTAAGAGATTTACCACTCTCCTAGATATACCAATGGATTATTTCTCTGTATATTATCCTGAAGCAAATAATCTTTGTTACCTCCTGAGAATTCTTTCAAGACTTATTAATCCAGAGGAAAGTAAGGGATAGTCTGCTGGAAAGATTAAATACAAAGAGACTGTTGAACATGTGTGAGTTAGAAGAAAGAAATGGCAGGAATGATGTGTCATTGCAAAAACACCTCTCTTCAGAGGGAATAAGAGATTGTCTATTCTTGAGCCAAATGTGAATAACTGACCTGGGAACACAGATTCACGTTACCCCAAATTCCACATTCCAACATGGTATCAATTTTATGAAGTGTTTTTAGTTATAGAACAAAAGAAAGTTAAAAAATCAAGGCATATTTCAAATACATTGGTGGGAACATGAGGTAGGTGGGTTACAGCCAAGTGAAGCCATGTCTAGGCCTCAGTCAGAGGCTATTAGATGACATTCTTAGCCTTTGGGTTGGTGGAAACTAGGGGTCTGGTTAGTACATTCCAAAAGGTTTTACATCATAGTCACAGGATGGATATTTGGACAACACAGAGGTGGGCAGTACATGACTATTAAGGGAGCTAAAGATACCCAAGGTAATTTGGCTCTCTATCTGCAACATCCAACTCCACAGTCATGTCACAGAAGTTCTAACCTGCCAGCCAGCTGAATGCCCTCTTTTGTGAGGCACCTTTACATCTTTTGTCTTTTGTTCAGTTTCAGGAGTTTAAGAACTCAAAAAGATAACATTGTAAGATTTCTTCACCTTTTCTAGAGATGGGTTTGTAAATACACCATCCTGAATGAAGTCTGCATTTGAATTCTCATGTTTTCTCATAACATCCGTCCATACCTCTAATCAAGTCACTGTATCCATTTTTTCTTTGATGATTAGTTGTTGTATTCTTTAAAAAAAAAAAAAAAAAAAAAAGTTTTACTTAATTTCCAATGATAATAACTTTGTTTTTGTATTGTTTTAGACAAAATTTTTGCCTGCTTTAGGCTTGCTCTTGTCTCTTGTGGCGTGATAATTTGGTCTTATGAGTAGAATAATTGCAGGATAAGTACTTTTAATCACAAATTAAAATGTATATACTTACCATCTTTAATCAGCCTTTGATTCATATTATTGATGAGCAGTTAAACATTTAACCAACAAGGTTGGTCTCAATCAGTGTTTTCCCAGGTGTATTTTATCAAATCTTATGTGTTAAAGTGGAAAAAAAGATTCCATACTCAAATAAGTTTGAGAAATACCTGGTTAAGCAAAATAAAGCAAGTTCTTAGGTCTTTGGAGTCCTAATGTGGATTATGTAACATTAGGACAGGTGGTAGGTGTGGTGTATCACTTAAATTATTTGTCCACAAAATACTTTGCTCCTTAGGACACATAGAACTAGTTTAGTGTAGTTTAGTAAATATAGCTCAATACAAAGGATATTTCCAACAGAAAAGAAATGAAGGGAAAAAAACTGAATCCAGGAATCCATAGATAATAGTACAAAATAGTAATGGAGAAGATTAGGCATATACAGAAGGACTGACAAATCACTTTGTGGGACTGCTCAGTAGATAAAGTGCTGTCACCTACACATGAGAACCTGAGTTCAGATCCCGGCACCCATGTAGAAAAGCTAAAGGTGGTCATGCATGCTTTAACCCTAGCACAGACATTACAAAGACAGACAGATCCCTGGAGCTTGCTGGTCAGCAGGTCTAACCAATCAGAGCACCCATTCAGTGAGAGACCCTGTCTCAAAAGGTGAGATAGAACGTGATTGAGGAAGACACTCAACTTCAACCTCTGGTCTCCATTCTCCACAAGCACATGTACACACACACAGAGACAGACAAACAGGAAAAAAGACAAAGACTGACAGAGACAGCTAGAGTAAGAGACACAGAGACAGAGAAAGACAAAGAGAGACTGACAGAAAGACAGATCCGTCACTTTGAAACCTCTCACATAAATAGTTAAGACAAGGATCAGCAAAGACTACCTTGTGGAGGGTCTTCAGCAGACCAGAGTCAATGTTCTCAGCACATTTTCTTTTTTATGAGGTAAGGCCTCACTATGTAGCCCAGGCTGGCCTTGAACTCAATTCTCTCAGACTCCTGAGTCCTGGGACTACAGAAGCGACCCACCACCACACCAGCTCCCTCACTCCCTCATGATCTTGATTATAAAGGGAAGGAGGTGGCTTTTCAGTAGCAAGACTTGAACCAAGAGCTCAAACCTCACACCAGCAACAAAGGGACAAAATCCACCATGGTCCCCTCCATGATGAAAAGGGAAGCAACCCAGGCCTACATGGTATCCCTGGGGGCTCAGTAGACAAATCTGCATGATGAGTTTGGATGCTTCAAATGTCAATGTGTTGAAAGACAAAAATTCCAAGATGACTATAAGGGGCTGTTATAAGGAGACCAAGAGATACTTTGAATTCTTTTATATTTTATTACATTTATTCATTCATTTGTGTGTGTGTGGGGGTGTAAGAATGCCAAGGCATGCATGGAGTGGTCAGAGGACAACCTGCAGGAGTCAGGTCACCTTCTACCATGTGGGTTCTGGGGATGGAACTCAGGTTGCCAGGCTTGGTGAAAAGCTCCTTTACCTGCTGAACCAGCTCATCAGCTCAAGAAATACTTTTAAAAAAGTAAAACAGTGGAGGGCTGGAGGGGTGGCTCAGTGATTAAGAGCACT